TTTTTTTTTGATATTTGAGTCTTTACATATTTGAATTTAAACAATGCTAATACATAATATGGTACTAGCATAGCCTAGGAACCATCAAGCTACCTTTGCATCAGTAGTATTGTCATTGAAGATAGACAGCCAGAATGCTGAGACCACTTTGTCTCATGAACTTGGGGCATGTTCCGAGGAGAGGGCAATGCCTGAAGAAGCACATCGTACTGGGCTGGAGGACAGAGTGGAAAATTCTGAAGAAATTTGACTGATATGAGTTGAAACTCATGTTAAGGTATCAGCCAACAAACAATATACAACAGATAACTTGAGTTTATTATACAAACTCTGAAGCAAAACTTGAAGTCTTTATTCTGAAAAAAAAAATTTCATTTATTTTTTGCATGTAGGTAAATGTATGTATTTTTATGAACAAGAATGACCCCTGTTGCTTCACCCAACACAATCTATTTTTTTTCTGCTTATTGCATATTATGTACATTACATTTATTACTGTAAAAATGATGATTGCCTTCTCTTTCCTCTCTGATCTTCCATTCGAACAGATTATTTCTACTTTTGTGTTTTCTGCTTTTGCCCACTAATAGATAATTAATCCCTAAGTTAAACACCTATTGATTTTAATTTTTGATAAACTGCTCTACAGATGTCTGTCACACTTCAACCATTAATTTATATAGCACAAGGGATTTTTAAGTTTCCTTTGTGTAGTTAATACCTCAAGGCTTGAGGTTTTCTGATAGCAGTGAATAGAAAATGTTTCCCTTGTGAACCAAATTTATTTGTTTTACAAGCAGCTTCATTTCATTAACTAATGAATTGTTTCCTTAATGAGAAAAAGGCAGAATTAACTATTAATATTTTCCCTATTCACAGTGTTACTGAGGTAAGGAAGAAGTTCACAATTTATCAGAAAGTTTAAATAGTCAAATTGAATTTAACCTCTCATTTCAATATTAATGATGGATTATAACTTAGTCCAATAGCTTGCACTATGTTTATCAACTGTAACTGCTCCCTAGCCCCTCTCATGCCCTCCTTCAACACTTTTATCAGTGGGCTTTGCAAATTATCTATAGTAATGTGAAGAAATGAGCATAGTGCTTAGAAAAATACTTGTAGGGGGAGTAGTTGGCAAGTATATATATACAGAGTAATGTGTGATATTTGTATAAAACACAGAATATCACATGGAAATGTAGAAGGGATATATTTTGGGAGCCTCTTTTGCCTCTAATAATTTCCTGAGTTTCTCAGGTAACATGTTCATCACCATGGAATCTTACTCAGTTCTTTAGACTTTGTGCATTTTTCAGTCAGCAAAATATATCTTTTTTTCTCCCAAGCTATTATTGTTGTTGATAATTGGGCTGATGGGTGAAATTGAGTTAGCAATTTAAAATATAATAAAGTTAATATGCGCCATGATGAAATTGTAGGCTATCTATTTGGCTGCTAACCACAAGGTCAGTGATTTGGAACTCTAAGCTATTCAGAGGGAGAACAATGAAACTATTTACTATCATAATAAAATTATAGTCTAAGAAACCCATAGGGCTGGTTCGACTCTCATCTATAGGGTCAGTGTACATGAGATTTTTTTTAAAGAAAAGTTATTATGCAGGTTTACCCTGATTTTTGTAATTCTCTCTTTCAATCAATGTTCAAAATGGACACAGAGACCTGTTCTAAGTTCTTTCCATCTCATTCATCATATTATTCTTTTGGAGGGTCAGGGGTACCAGGTCATGCTTATATACTTTTTGATAACAAAGATATTTCACTGTTGTTAATTTGGTTTGAATATATAGCTAGAGTTTCCATTGATACTTTTTATATTAAGTCAGATTCAAATTGTACATACTATTCATAAAACCCTTCCAAATCATGACATTGATCAATACAAGAGAATTTCATTCTGAAAAGTGATATTTCATATCTAAGGTTCATAGTAAAGTATAGACTATCCTGCAATTCCATTCCATTTTCCCAAGAAAAATATGGTCTAGATCCTACAAAGGGATTTGCAATCAAAGAGACAAATTTTATAATACTTACTTGTCTGTTAGTAAATAAGAATTTTTGTTAGTTGTTTAAGCATAGCAATATTAAGACTACAATGGTAAAAGTAATAGTTTTATAAAAAGTTTCAAGTCTTTACAATCACTAGCAGGTTCAGCAATGAATAGTGAGCAATTTTCAACCCCAACAAAATGGACGGACTGTCACAATAGGTTTAGTGCAATTATCAGCCCACAGGTAGATTCTTCTGGTTCCATCATAGAATAAAAAATAAATTACTCGAAGGAATGGGGAATGTCAGGTATTCTATCTACTGTTGAAGGGGACAATAATCTAAAAAGAAAATCATGAGAGCAAGAAATAATTTTACAATGTCAAGTAGAGCCCTTTGTAAAATAAAAGTAGCTTAACTTGCCTCAAAATGATAATATATAAAGCATCCCTAGTGAGTACATTCAAGAGACATGAATGAACTTTCTGAGTAATAAAATTTGGCACAGCACAAGTAAAATAAACTTCAGGGTAACTGTGCCCTTGGAGACAGAAGGACAATATGGTAGTATTAGACACATGGGAAAGAAGACAGCATATTATTTAAATTACATAGTTAATCTAAAATTATCATGTATCTTCTAAAGAATTTGAAGATTTTACATTCTTTATAATTTCATTATGGTTTTCTATTATATTATAATATAGAATAATTTATTATCATTGGATAATTGTACCCAGATTTGCAAAAGAAAAATTTGTAGTCATATTAGATTTTCTTATATTACAGACCTTATATTTCAAACTTTTAATTTCTCCAAATATACAACTACATCTTTTTACTGTATTCAAAAATATGCTTTTATATATTTAAATACATCTTAATTTATTACATAATGTACATTTATGTTCTTGTTAATTTTAGACTATTAGTAAAGTTATTCATTTGGTTATTTACCCTGCATTAAATCAATCCTTGAATTATGTTTTTAATGTTCTCCATTTTTCATTATCATTAACCATTCTATCAAAAGCCTCCTAGAAATTTCTAGAAAAAATGTTATTTCATACTTAAAAATGTTGGTTCATGTCAAAAAAGGATCCACAAGATTAATTTAGATCAGACATTTGCTAACTGAATCATTAGAGAACATTATTTTTGTTTCACCCCTATTCATATTTTAAAAAATATGTTAAATATGTATTTTAGCATGCTAAGTCATTTGAAATATTATCGATGATATTTTAGATAGAGTTAATGGTTTTATAAATCAGATCTATCAACTTTTTCAAATTTTTTTTCTTTTAGTAGTTGATAGAAATGTAAGTCTTTTGATTGAGTCCATGAAAGCTTTTTAAACTTGGCTGTTCCCTCGGGGTTTAAATGAATGCCTTCAAAGAAGGAGAAATGGAAGAAATGAAGAGCATAACAACTTTTTTAACAATCACCTCTTGCGATAGAAACTACAACCCTGTGGGAAGAACAGGTTGAAAAGGTCTTTTTCCTTTGCTGTCAGAAGGGAATATGCATACTGTCTTGATGGTACTACATGAGACGGAAACGCAGTAGTAAGAGTCATGTTTAGGGTCAGCAGATCCCAGATGTTAACTGTCCCAAGAACCACGTCTGAGCATGTGGTTTTCACAAGGGGAAATTCCT